AGAGGGGATGTGCCTCCTCCTTCTTGGGACCCTGGGGACCACAGGCTCAGATGTCCTTGTCTTACTCAAGAACAGAGATGGCTGCATGGAGGTACAGGCAGAAGGACCCAAGACTCTCTGAGTTTCCTGTGGTCTAAGAGCTGGGCACAGAAGCCAGCAGAGGGGTAGGGAGGGAGAAAGCAAGAGAGTCCCATAGTTGGGCCAAGCGGATGCAATGTGCATCCTAAGGCCAGAGATCATTCAGTCAAAACCAAAGCAGACTAACGATGAACAGTCCAAAAAGGAAATGAAGGAAACTATCCCATTTATGACAGCATCAAACAGAATAAAATATTTAGGAAAATACTTAACCCAAGAAGCAAGACTTGCCCACTAAAAACTACCAAACACTGCTGAAAGAAATTAAAGGAGACACAGATAAATGGAAATATTTCCACGTTAATGGACCGGCAGACTTCATGTTGTTAAGATGTCAATACTACCCGAAGCAATCTATAGATTCAAGGCAATCCCTATCGAAACCCCAATGACACATTTGGCAGAAATAGAAAAAAACATCCTAAAGTTCAGATGGCATCTCAAGGGCCCCCTAACAGCCAAAATGATCTTAAAAAGGAACAAAGTTGGGAGCATCATACTTCCTGATTTCAAAACTTACTACAAAGTTACAGTAATCAAAACAGCGGTACTGGCATAATGACAGATCAAAGGAACAGAATAGACAACCCAGAAATAAACCCTTGTATGTATATCCAAATAATCTTTGACAAGGATGCCGAGACTACTCAATGCAGAAAGAATAGCCTCTTCAACAAATGGTGTTGGGACATCCACATGCAAAAAATGAAGGTGGACCCTAACCTCACACCACATACAAATATTAACTCCAAATGGATTACCTAAGAGCCCAAACTATAAAACTCCTAGAAGAAAACAAAGGAGAAAAGCTTTATGACACTGGATTTGGCAATGATTTCTTAGATATGCCTTTACATGTTGAATAAACAAGAGAAAAAATAGACAGATGGGACGGTGTTATACTTAACAATTTCTTTGCGTCAAAAGAAACAATCAACAGAGTGAAAAGGCAAGCTACAGAATGGGAGAAAATATATGCGAATCATATATTTGACAAGGGGTTAATATCCAGATTATGAAAATAACTTCTATAACTCAACAACAAAAACACAAATAATTAAATTAAAAAATGGGCAAAGGACTTTAATAGACATTTCTCCAAAGAAGATATAAAAATGGCTTATAAGCATATGAAACGATGTTCAACATCAAAAATCATTAGGGAAATGCAAATCAAAATCAAAAGAGATACCAACTCACACCCAATAGGATGGCCACCATCAAAAAGACAAGTGTTGACAAGGCTGTAGAGAAATTCGTGCATCGTTGGTGGGAATATAAAATCGTGCAGCTGCTATGGAAAATAGCATGGAAGTTCTTCGAAACAATTAAATAGAATTACGATAGGATCCAGCAATTTCACTTCTGGGTATACACTCAAAATAATTGAAAGCAAGATCTCAAAGAGATATTTGCTCACCTATGTTCACTGCAGCATTATTCACAATAGCCAAGAGGTAGAAGCGCTCCAAACGCCCACTGACAGATGAATGGATAAATGAAATGTGGTATAGCCATAAAATGGAATATTATTCAGCCTGAAAAAGGAAATCCATCACGTGCTACATAGATAAGCCTTGAGGACATTATGCAAAGCGAAATCGATCAGTCCTAAAAAGACAAATACTGTATATTTCCACTTATGTGAAGTACTTAGAGTAGTCAAAATCATAGAGACAGAAAGCAGAATGGTGGTTGCTGGGGGAGGGAAAATGAGGAATTGTTCGATGGGTACCGAGTTTCAGTGTCACAGGATGAAAATTTCTCAAGATCTAAAATCCACAACGTGAGTATGCATGACACGACTGAGCTGTACACTTAAAAATTATCAAGATGGTAAATTTTATGTTATGTGTTTTTTTTTTAATCGCAATTAAAAATCAAAAGAAATCAAAGCAGACAGGTGACAATCAAGGACTGAATGTGCCCCACTGCCTCTCACACTTAGGCGCTACTCCAGGGAGAAGAGGGTGATTCATAAAACGTGAGTTTATTAGTTTTATTTTCTAACAAGCAAAATGGGGCTTAAGTTTCCGAAAAAGTAAGAAAGTTGTACAAACACTGTTAATTGTCTGTTCCTCTCCCATTTCTTCCTCACTAACAGAACTCTCTGACTTTATTCAGGTACCCACCCCTCCCGTATGAGACTTGGGGTTAAGTCCTAAAGGGTCTAGACTGGCCATGACAACCCCACGCTCGCAGCCAGTGACTGGTTTAGGCCAACGAGATTCAGCGGGAAATCTGCCTGGGGCTTCTGGGAATGATTTTCATTGACTTTAATAAAAAGACACAGGAAGATTCTCTCCCTCCTTCCCCCCTCCACTCTTCTCTCTCTGCCTCTGGCTCTGAGCAGGTGAGGATGCCAGAGAAGAAAATGGAAAGAATGAAATAACTGTCAGTGATGATTTCATTGACCTAGTGAGCAGACCCAACCCTGAACCACCGTACTCCCTGTCACCTGAGATAATAAAGTCCTGACTGTTTAAGCCAGTTGGAGCCTAAATTAAGACAAGAGCTACCCTGATCTAACCGTCACCCTCTACTGAGGCTTTCGGAGACTCACAGCCAAAGCATCCTGGTTGTTGTATGTATTTTTTTCATACCTGGATACATGGTATAAAATTAAGTCCACCCCCCACTTTCTAGCATGGCCACCTAGCGTCGGGAAGGTTCACCTTTGCCCTCAGGTACGCTCCGAGTCTTCACGCACGTGCGTCTCTGACCAGCACCGTTCTGCTGTCTGCTGTGCCACCGCAGCCCTTCGGGTCTGACTTGTGCTTCTGAAAACGAAAACTTCTTTCAGTGAACCAGATTCTAAGCCCCTTGACACCTGAGGCTTTTCATTCCTGCATCTCCACATGGCCTGGAATCTCTAGTATGTAAATTAATTCCATAATTAATTCAGAGCAGATCACAGCCCAGAAGTGTCTCTGTGGTGTGACAACTGAGTCCCCCTCGGCCTGTACCAAACCCTTCAAACGACCCTCCATGCAAAGAGCCCAGACCAGGTATGGAAAAGCAAAACTGGGTCCCTACTAAATATGATACGTAGAAATAAATTTCATCTGGATTAAAAATCGTAAGATGAAAATAAACATTTAAGCTTTTGGAAAACCTCAAGGGTAGGGAAGGATCTCTTAAAGAGTATCCAAAGGCAGGAGCCATAAAGGTGAAAGACTGATAACATTTAACAACGCCTACATTTAAAATGACTTTGGCATTCAAGAGATCCCCAAGGGAGGCGGAGACAAGCCACAGACTGAGAAAAATACCTGAAATGCATATAATGGACCGAAGATTAGCATCTCTCCACAAATATATATTACGAGGCCTAAATATTCTTAAGTAAAAGGCAAACCAACCAAATGAAAAACGAAGGTATACATAACCTACAAGGAAATCCTCACTGGCCAAATGTACGATGATTTGCAAACTTAAGCTCTTTGCAAACTAAAACCTGCAGGAGATGACACCCATTACGTTAGCAAGTATGAAAAATCGGATAATACCAAATGCACTGCGGCAGAGTTGGGGAAAAGGAGAGACGCTCAGATTGCAGATGAGAGGGTAAAGGGACCCACGTGCCGGGAGAGCGAGTGGGAACACCCCGTCCAGGAGGGGTGACCGGGACTCACCCGAGTCCACAAAACAGGACGCTCCTTGCAGTCCAGTTATAATACAGAAATCCTGCGAACACCTGGGCCGTCCATCAACAGCATAATGGATAGAGAGTGGAATATCACACAATGGAATACTAAACAATACGTAGTTAAAGTAACAGCACCAGAGCTATTTTTATATGTGACTGTCTCAAGAACGTAGTATTAACATTTTTAAATTGTCACACGTACAGTATGACATCATTTCTGTAAAGTAAAAAAAAACCACGCCAACATGCAAAATGAAAGAAACTAAACACGGATGGGAAGGGTACAAGCTGACTGCAGGATGAGGGGAGGGAGTATAGGATTGGCAGGGTATACAAACAGGCCTTCGGAATTACAAAGTTTTATTTGCAAAAACAAATCTGGTGTAAATATGGAAAAAAATGTTAAGATTAGCTGATTGATTATATGGGGGGGACAGAGATGTTGGTACACCAGTTCTCCGTTCTTTTCAGCATGTTTGAATTATCTGGTTTTTTTTAATCCTCTTTTCTCTCCTCCACCTGAGTGCCAGTTGCCCGTCTCCCAGCGACTCAGGGACCAAGCTTCTGCAGAGTCTCCTCAAGTATCTTCTGTTTTCTCTCCCATGACTACCCTTTGGTCTTCTCACATTTACTTATTTTTTCCCAGTCTTAACACTTAACCTTGACACTTCGTCAAGGGCACCATGCCACGCCCAGCACCCTCGTTGGTCTTGGACAAAGACCTCTTTGAGCCTGACAAACCCAAACACTCGTCAAATCTCACCTGTGGAAGCC